AACAGGGGCAAATCCACTTGATCTGGTGCCGTCTTCGAACACTTGATAGCCTTTACCAATTCACTAAGCAATTGCTCCATTTTCACACCTTTATTGTCACTAATAACTAATAACACACAGGTATTTTTACCAATAACAATTCAAACAAGAAAAACTGTCATAAACAAAACAATAGCCTGAGCTTTTTTTTTACGAAACGCACAATGAAAAACTAACTGTCCACATTCCGCACGTAAATTTATTTTAGCATACCGCGTGTATTCGATATCCCGCTTCTGATGTTATATTATTTATTGTAAACTGTAAACAAAATAGCCAACGGCAATTATAGCAAGCGTGCTAGCACTCACGGGAAGACTGGCTCCGTTTTTCCAGTACCTGCCTGTCCCTTTTCTCGCACGATTGCCAGCGGTTGACGAAGTATATTCGACCCTTTACTTTATTTACCTGCATCATTTCATGTTTCACCAAGATAAATAATAGTCCGGTTGAATTATCATCACAATAATTTAATTCCTTCGAAAAATATTTTATAATAATTATTATTTTAAATTCAAATATAATTTTGATTCTAACACTAGATAGATATTTATATTGTTTGCTGATTATGTCTTTAACTAGTTGCTTAGGAATGTTGGTGAACAAACTCACAACATCCAGAGAAACCAACACATAACTGTCTGGAATGTTTTTTCTCTGTATCAGTTCTACAAATTCAAATGAATCTTTAATGTTGAAATGGAACGTGGTTGTGAAGGGAGACAGTACATTATGTAAAAATTTTGCTAAGTTATACCCTGGTGATCCTAAGCAGCTTACAACAGGTCGAAGGTGTAACCCTGGTTTATGAGTTTTCCTGAGGCAATATAATCTTGGTGGTACAGCATTTGTAGTCTTCATTGACTTTTCCTCGTATGCAGTGATCAGGTCTTGGCTTTTTAGAGTTTTAAGGATATCATTCGCTCTTGTCTGAAATCTATTTGTTGGGTCTTTTTTAGTTGGCTGGTAGACACTTGTATCCTGGAGCATTTCAGAAACTTTAGTATGGTATTCCTCTTTTTCCATAACTACTGTGGAATTACCTTTGTCAGATCTCATAATCCATAGGCTTGGGTGTTCTTTTATAAACTGCTGAGTTAGTTTTTCTTTGTGTTGTAGGCTTGCTTGTAGTGTAGTTTGTGATTCATTGTTTCTACAGTAATGATTAGTTATTATATTTGTAGCTTGGGCTCGTATGATTTCCTTATTTTGTTCTGTAGTTACTTGTCGTGATATGCAATATTCCAGATCTTTAATGATTGTGGGGATAGGTATTTCACTATTTTTTATAGGTAGGCCGAATTTAGGACCAAGGCTTAACATTGTTCTTACATCCTGTGGTAGTTCTGTGTCCGTGAAATTATACAAAAACTTATCCTGTGTTGAAATGCAAACCTCACTCTGCTCATTTTCAAGGTTTTTTAGTTTTTTTAAATTGGTTACCTTAACCTTGTTAAATTCTACATTGTACCTTGTATTATTTTCTTTTAAGCAATGGAGAAAAGTTTCATGGGGTATAAAATTCTTCAATAAGTTTTTTGTTTCTTCAATTTCTTTATCCATGTTCTTCAGTTTCCATATTGTTATATCAATCTCAAGGTTCAGTACTGATTTCTTGAATTTTCTTTCAATTTTATCCACCTGTTTTGTGAATGGGTGGTTATCCATTTGTAATTGGTACATACATTTGATGTGTACGTTTAAATGTTTCGGTATTAAACCTCTTGATCTGCATTTCAACAAAAAGATGCGTCGGTTTTTTAAATTTGCCAATTTACTTGTGTTGTTTGCCCATTGCTTTACTAGTGAGAGTGTGCTTTGTCCATAAGTATCCTTGATGTTTGCGAAAAACCCCTGGTGTGTTAAAGTTGTTTGGTTTTCGTATCCCTCCATTATATATTGTTTGCTGTTTCGTGGGTTATGGGTTGGTTTCTCTGGATGTTGTGAGTTTGTTCACCAACATTCCTAAGCAACTAGTTAAAGACATAATCAGCAAACAATATAAATATCTATCTAGTTACATTGAAATCTCTAAGAAAATGCTCCTAGATATTGTCGACTTCTGCTTTGATACGAGTTATTTCACTTTTGATCAAGATATTTATTTACAAAAAGATGGAACAGCAATGGGGAATCCAGCTAGTCCCATATTAGCTAATTTGGTTATGAACTATGTTGTAACTGAAGTAACACAAAAATTACCATTTTCTCTACCCTTTTTTTACATTTTTGTTGATGATTCGTGTCTTGCAGCACCAGCTGATAAACTAGATTTTCTACTAACAACTTTTAATAGTTTTCATAGATCTTTACAATTTACAATGGAAGTAGAAACAGATGGCAAGTTGTGTTTCTTAGATACTGAGGTCCACAGAGAAACAGATGGGTCTATTTTAACTAATTGGTACTCTAAACCAAGTAGTTCAGGGAGGATCCTGAACTTTCTTTCTAACCATCCCACATCCAATAAAGTTGGTATAATTAATGGACTTTTATATCGAGCTACTAAACTGAGTAGCCAAAAATTTCATAATCAAAACATGAACAAAATAAAAACCTTACTAAGAAACAACAATTACCCCACCAAATTTATTAACATTTCTATCAACAAATTTAACAATAAAACACCATCCCTCCGAGATAATTCTAAAAAATACTACAAATTTCCTTATATTGAAGGCTTATCCCAACAAGTCAAACGTTGCTTCATAGACATGAATTCAGAATTAGCATTTTACAATGTGAAAACCACAAAGAAGTTCTTTACTAGATTGAAAGACTCTACTCCCATGGACAAACATTCTAATCTCATATACCATATTCCCTGTGAATGTGGAAAAAGCTATGTTGGACAGACCAAGCAATATCTGGAGAAGCGTATTAAACAACACAAGAATGACTGTAAGAATGACAAAAGATATGATGAGGAGAAAACAGCCCTCTCCAAACATCATTTCGAGTTCCAACACAATTTCCGATTTCATGACACAACTATTTTAGATAAGAAACCAAACTACTCTAAAAGACTTATCAGTGAAATGATTCAGATTCATTTACATGACACCATCAATTTAAGAACTGACGTGAGGGGATTAAGTACTTTATATTGCAATATTTTAGATAAGTATAAGTCTCGAATTAACAAAAAATAATAATTATATCTTAGCTGTGATAACACATATTATATGCCTGTGATTTTCTAAGTGTTAATTTTATATGTAAATTGTTTTTATTTGTTTTAATCTGTTTGTAATGCCGTTAGTTTAACTAGCAGTTTTTAAAACTTTTAAAGATTTTTTTTTTTCTTTTTATATAGGTACTATGTTTTTCATGATCATTAACTAGTGGCAAAAATTTTGTGTTGGTAAAAGTGATAATGCTTTGTTTAAGTTCAATTTTATTGATTTTTTGATATCTCAGTGTTTTACGTTTTTTTTTTTTTGTAATTTAATTTGGTGAACGTCTCGCAATTGTTGTGATGGTGATGTATGATGTAGCACTTATTGTGACGTCACACTGTTGTTGTGTGAATACAGCCTAATGGCTCTCCATAACCTAACTTTTCGTATAAACAAGGAATTTTACTAAAGAAAAAGAAATCGCCAATAAAAAAAAAAAAAAAATCGCGGATCATTGCCAACGATTAATTATTAAATAATTACAACAAGCACCTAGTTCTGCACGATTGGGAGATGTGTAATAGCATTGTTACTTTGTGATGGTTCACATCCACAGCAAGAATGAGCCAGGCTTTTGACTTAATTTTCTAATGTAAGTGGTTAAGCTTTTCATTTATTTGCATAATATGATTAATAAGAGTGTTTTGTTACATTAGGGTTGAAAACGGCGCAATACAGCACCGAAACGTCCCAAAGAATAATTAGTCTTTTTTTTTTGCCTATCCCATAACCCACGAAACAGCAAACGTCAATAGTAATTTTGCAACTATTTCTGGCTTCTATAAATTCTGTGTGGTTTTGAGCGGTTTGTTGTCGTTTCCAAAGGTTATATGCTCTGTGTTTTTTCTGTACAGCCTTTTGACACTGGCTGTTGAACCAAGGTTTTGCATTAGCTCTACTTATATCCATGTTGCTGCCGCTTTCGCAGATTTTCTCCAGTTTTTTATATTATTTCTTCTCGAATGTCCCTGTTTCTATTTCGCAAAAATTCTTGTCGAATGTCCTAAAACAATCCGACGATAACGGCAATATCTTTCTGTCTCTATTCTTACACTCTCTGTTTTTATTTCATTAATCTGGCTTTTTTTTCCTGTATTTAATTCAGTCGTCTCTCATCGTTCTATTTTTTTTTTCGTCTTTCTTCTTCCCTTTTTTCTTTAGCTATAGTTTTGTTTCGTATTTAATCTATAGCCAAACATTTCTCTACTCACGTATCCCTAGTATAAGCTTTTCTTTATTATTTCAAGCTTTCATATAATAGGCTAGAGTATAAGCAAACATTCTTTTCCAAGTCGATCCAGAAATAATTCTAGTCTTAGAAATTCAAGAATTCTCAGTGATAGAAGACGTACCTATCTATATTAACTATAAATCTTGGTTATCATCGACTACTTCTTGTTACGTTGTTCCGGTTTAGATAATTTGTCAAAAACTTTGGATTATCCAAATTCTTTTACTTCTCGAACTCTACGCAACCGCAAAAAAAGGGAACGTTTTCACTGACCCACTCATACTCAATAATTTTTATATCATATTTTCAAAATAACTTTTATATAAGTAGGTGATAAACTGTTATATCTTTCTACGATCCAGTTATCAGAAACCAGCAAGGTATATTGCCATTATTTATTGTCAATTTAAGATGATTTATATTGTTATCTATCTATTGTATTGGCTACCTAGTCCTTGATAAAGCGAATTCACAAGACATGAAACGTGACACGAAGCTACTTAATTTGTGGGATTATTAATAATTAGAAATAGTTGTCAATTGAAAATACTTTAAAACACTAAGGTCCTTAGAGGTCGAGGAAGTTTTAAAATGGCTCTTTCTGTTCTCAACCACAAATCAATACTTACTTTGAAATTATACACCGATGGAAATTTCTTCAACGAATAAGTGTTCTCGATTCTGAGTGTATCGACTTCATGCAAGCCCTCAGTTGGAAGCGTTGTTATTGAAGTATCAGATAAATCTCTAAAAATTAAATCTTACTACTCACTTGATACATTAAATGTAGGTATATAAACTTACATAAGTCTCAAATTCTGCAAATTTCTAAAAGCCGTCCTGTGTAATACTTTTAGTTTTGCGTTGCCTCTGAAAACTCTAAAATCAAATAAAGCTTAGATACTCCATTATTCATAAAACATTATTTTCTATACATATACTCTTTCTATACAATTAAAATTCGAAATCGGATTACACGAAAATGTTTTACATCTAATAATTGCAGTAGTCAGACAAAAGCATGATGAATAATGTAAATAAGCTAGCTTCAATAAAGTAGAATACATTAAAACAAAATTAATATGCAACAGCGAAACTTTTAAGTTTATAAATTGCAACAGAGGCTTAGAAACTTAATACATTTAGTATTGGTGTTCATAAATTAAGCAAAATTTCAGCCCTTGTAGAAGATATCTTGTTTTTTTTTTTCTATCTGAACGGATGATTGAATTTCTCTTATGACGAAATAAATATTTTTCATACAATGCGAAAAAATCAATTCAAAGCTTACATGGAGGCTATTTGAGAATCCGCGAAAGCTTCTTCTTCAACAATTTCAATTTGGTTGTTTGTCAGAATCCTGAAAATAAATTAAATTACCTTGTTCTCTTATTGCATATCATGTTAACAATTACTTACAGTTGATTTAAAGCGATGTTGCTTATTTCTCCTGTTGATATTTTCTTTATTTTGTTATGGTCTAAGTCTCTTGAAACAAAAATGATAATTATAATTAATTTTGAGTTTGTATTATAAAGAAAGGGCACTGAAAAGTGGAAAATTATCTATTATCAAGTAACTAACATTTAACATGTAGGTATATAACAAGTAGGTATATTTTAAATGGGAATTTTGCTTATGCAATTGGACTCAAAAGAAAACCAAATTATATCATTTTAAGGTTATGTGAGTAGTTCAAGTTTCAGAGACAAAATTATCAAATAAATGTGTGAAAAAATACTACCTCTACTAAGTAATTTATTGAATATTTTTTAAATACCCTAAGTAATATCAAATCAAAAATAAAAAGAAAAGTAAATTTATAAAATAAATAGTTCAAAATATAGGAAACACGTGAAATACATAACATCTTATTTTCACCAGCCACGATAAGTAGGTAGGTACCTAATAATAAATAAAATCTATTGTAGCTCATTGCAATTTTATCAAAAAGGGAATTAGGTAATTATATATATTTGGTATTTCCTTTCCCTTAGATTCCTGTCGGGAACGAAGTTATTTGGAAAAATAGGATTAACTATTTCATCTATTAAGTATGTCCTGAAGCAAAAACTAGTAGAGAAACAAGTTCAGGAGAAAAATAATGAAAATTGTACTCACACCATATGCAATACGGAACTTGTGTTTAGGCCGTTCAAATTGGGCACGTGCTGCAGTCCAGTATAAACTATCCTCCTGAAATATAACATAATCATGTATTACCTAATGTCAGTGCATTCAGGAAAATGAAGAAGGAACATTTCAAAGTTGAACTTTTTGTTGAAATAAAGAACATAATATTTTGAAAAATCTATTGAACGCCATTTTTCGTGTTTTCAATTGATTGAAGTGAAGTTTTCAGCCTATACTTTGCTAGATAGGAAAAGAAGTGTGTTAAAAAATAATTATCATACTATTATTCTATCTATCTATTTGTGTATAAAGTCTCTTTGGTAATTCTTCTTCCCCATAAGCTGATTTCACTCATCTCTATCTGCGATCAAGTAGATAAATCCATCTTGAACCAGCAAATTTATATTGGAATCATATGCTTATGCTATCAACTACTCAAGTATAGTACATATAACACTCTGTACATCAATTTTACTAAAGTTTGTCGACGAGTCGGCATTTATTTCGTATAAATACCGCGCCGAAATCCATTACCAGCAGACTAAGGCTAGTGCAAAGTACCTCTAATAGGAAAAGCCCCTCTAGCTAAGTCTCCTCCCAGTGCAAACTGCCTTTAATAGGAAGCGCCCTTCTGGGAGTATTGAACGCCGCAGACTAGGTCCAGTTCAAACTACCTTTAATGGGAAACGCCCTCCTGGACCTGTCTCAAGCCCAGCTCCAGTCTTCAGTCACGCCAAGTGTACAGAGGGTACATAATACAGAGTGGCCTATAAGTAGTACGCCGCTCCGTAGAAGAGACGTCATGATACTATTTCTAGGGTAATATTATTATTCAATACATTATACCTATACACATTCTGTATTTGATAACCTTTACCTGTTTTGTAGTACGGTTATTTTTGGAGTATAATGTCGTCATTATTATTGATAATTAAAGAGTTCATTTTCTTGTTGATAGTTTTACCTTATTATTCTCATGATTCCCAATATAAAAGTAGGTACCTAAATACCTAATAGTTGCGACACTTGATATTCTATCAAATAGTCCAATAAGAATCTACCCTCAGGCTTGCTCTGTCATGAATTGCTTATTTTGGATCATACTTTTTGGAGCTCTATCAAAATTTGAGAGCTGTTTAATTTTTTAGTGATACTACCGTGTATGGAATCAACGTTTTCATATTTTAGTCCTGGACCTGACAGCATTCCTATAGGAAAGTGTACGTAGAGAGATTTTTTTTTTCGGGAATGGTTGGTAGGTGTGTTAGTAAGTGTTTTGAGTTAGGGTGGACATCGACTCTAGGATTACATCCACCACATACATTTTCCAAATATGGCGTCATCTAAGATGGGTCCGTGCTAACACAAAGCTGCTCATATTATATCAATACATCATTGATTTCTATGAAATTTTGACTTTTTATCGAAGGTTCTACGGGGAGGGGTAATTATTCCTCCCCCTAATCCCCCTATTCCCCGTTTTCCCCAGAATCTGGAGAAATATTGAATATATTAGGTAAAATAGGTATTATTGATAAGAGACAAAATATTGTTGTCGGAATCACTTACCATTTCTTTCCAAAGCCCATTCTCCCTCTCCCCCTATGACCCATTTACCGCCAGAGCCCATCCACCTCCTCTTTCATCCACCCGTCATAATTTTACGAATCTTTTATTTAGAGCGAATTCCGTTTTCAGCCTTGGTTACGGTTAAACGTTCCGTAAATGCCGGTTGCCTGAAAAACCGGTAATACGGAACATGGTTGCTGAAGGTCAAAGCGTTCCCTATGGAACAGAAATTTTCAGAAGCCACTGTCAGTCAACCGACGATGTGGTTAACCCAGTTTGAAAATGGAACCCACTTCTATTGGTTCGTTACAGGTTACGGTTGCCATCGCTAACTAAAAGAATCGCTTAGTTTATCAACCAACAAAATGGCCACGGCTCAAATTTCAATAATCCCTTTTTTTCAAACCCGAGCAAATCTTAAATGAAATGTCGATATGGATAGCATAAAACTGACAAGAAAAGATAGTCGAATAGACTTTAAACCAAGTAGTGACAAAATATGCATAATCTGTAATCAAAGTGATAATAGTGTGATAAGTACGGAAAATGGTCGCAAAAAAATTAGGGCAGCTGCGAAAGTACGAAATAACATTGTTATCAAGCGATTGAACTCATTAAGTGAGGAAGCAGTGTTTTACTACCATATAAATAATGAGTGCTACAAACAATACTGTCATAGAAAGTCCCTTCTGAAGTATCAAAGACTGTCAAAGAGGAAAGGACCTATCAGAAAATGAAAATACCGACGGCATTTCCCAATCGACTGCACCGAAAAGTGATAAAAAGTCTGTAAGAAAACGTGCTGTAACGTGTAAAGTTACTTGTTCCTTTTTTTTAAATCTAATTTTATAGGTATAGGTAACCCTGTTTAATGTTGACAGTCTGGTGACTAACATTTAAAATACAGGGTTTCTGCTACTCATAATGATAGCAATTATTGAAGTATTACGCGAGGGTACGATTTTCATTTAAATTTGACGTACTGGTTAGTAACAACGTTTTCCGTTAGAAGGAAGCGCTGTCTGCTCATATTGTCTACAGTGACTCTATTACCACAGTGGCGACAATTGTCGTCTTCTTTTTGATTGGTTCTTTGAAATCCTATATATTCATATGGAAAACGCCGCCATTTTGTGCCCAGTCTCTTGCTACTTTTAAATATAAATATATAGGATTTAAATGGACACCCTTCATAAAATATTGAAAATAAATTATCCGATGACTATAATTAGGCACATCAAATACGTTGTTTTCAATTTTTTATGACGGACGTTCATTTAAATCCTATATATTCATATTTAAAAGTAGCAAGAGGTTGGGCACAAAATGGCGGCGGTACCTCTATTGTCGCCACTGTATGTGAAGGGTTATTTAGCCACTGTAATCTTGTCCATTTCAATGCTCTTTCTTGTTGAATTGTGTCGTCGAGCTGCAAAGTCGATCGGCTGAAAATCGCCATCTTCTCTAGACAACTGTGCCGTAGAAAAATAAAGTACCCTATCGGCCTTCAGGCATTACCTTATTTAAGCGAAATAAAGTTGTATAAGGCAGTAATTCATTGATTACCGAAAAAATTTAAATAAAAAGTCTCGTGATTACCGTTTAATTTAAGTTTGGATTTCAAGGCTCCTCGTGATAAGTTTTTTAATTTCTTTTTAAGTAATAGCTTTTCAAGGAATGCCTTATTACTTAGGGTCTTTCGGAGAGCCGTTTCTCTCAACAAGTCCATTCCAAAAAGGCCACATTTCGAATGGTAACACCATATCCGTGGAGTGTGGCATAGAGCTTTTGGAGGGATTCCTACCCTATAAGAATCGAGACCCTTACAAGTCGGTACGTGTGCCCCACATTTGACGATAATTCTTGTCCCTTATCTACATGCATTCTAGGCTAGACTCTGCAAGTTCCATGTGGAGTTTCCTTCGTCAAAGACCGAGGATGGATGGCTTCCGTGCTCTACCTTATGTCGGAATTGAGGCTCGTAATAAGTTTTACTTATAACTTTCAATCCGTTTCTTTTATAAAATCCGTTTTATAGTCACCTAACAAAATTTAGATAATTTTTTACATGATTTTCATAAGCATTTTAAATCTCTTGTTCTTGACACGATGGTGGAAAATTAGCTTCCGGTGTTATCAATTTTAGCAATAATAATCGATAAGTAATCTGAAGGTCAAGGTTGGACAACATGTTCTAATTTTGAAATGGTTGAGTAATAGCCTACCGTCAAAAATTGATCAATTTTCAACCCGAGCGCATATGACTTATATATTAGTGGATTTCCCCTATATCTCCAAACCATTTAACCGTTATACAACTCAATTTTTGTTTTTGTTTACAAATTGATTTTTTTTGAATTTATTTTTTTTGCAGAAGCTGACCATATTTATCAATAGAATTTTCCACTTATTCAATTTTTTTAATCCGAATCTGATTGAAAGTTAACCTCTTTTATTTGATTTGACCACCCATAATTAAATTGCTTGTCAGTAGAGGAGGCAGACTTTAGAATGCCGATTCATTCAAAACATGCATCCTTGTGTAGATTCACCAAAATCGTTCTGGTTAGTGCTGACACTGACATAATGGTGTTAGGTTTGTTTGACTGGGACGCTTCTCATCAACTTGATGTTCAGGAACTTTGGAAGCGCACTGGAGTTGGTGATTCTACGCGACTTTTACCTACCTGTTCATGATATTCATCAAAAAGTAGGTCATAACTTATGCTCCTTGCTTCCAGCCATCTACGCACTATCTCGGTCACATTATGCGAGTAAGTTTGGAACCAAAAAAGCAGCCCTTCATTGTGTATCCCCGGCATATCTGATGGAACACTTTGACATATCATCTGATTGGGCTCACATAGAACAAACCTTTATATCTGGAGAAACATACTTGGTACTACGGAAAGAGTCGTTTTGTAAATCTTTAGATGAACTTAGATTGTGGATGTATCATCATGCAAAGAACATAGATATTCAAGATTTGCCGTCTACAAGCAGAAGTGCCAAGGGCCATTTGTTAAGATCCTTTTTCTACACATATCTTCAAGAACACTATATAGATGATCTGTTTGCTGCCTTAGACCCATATCAATTTCGTTTTGTCGTAACAGACATTGTGGTTTGGTGCCAGAAAATAACTTACAAAAATACCCTACTGATTTTGTTGGGGCATGTAATTGTTTAAAATGTGCCAAATGCTCCTGTATTTGTAGGAAAAATGAAGTGGCCTGTTGCTTCTTCTGCAAGTGTGGTAGTAAAAAGATAGGATTAACCTGTAAGAACATGAACATGTTTACGCACTCATTATTACAATTATTCAATAACAATAAAAAAATCAACAAAATTGATGTTTAATTTATTTGTCCCGGTTTTGGGGAAGGAAGTGGTAAGGGGGATAAAGGAAGGTACATAATTACTCCTTCTTCCGTAGAACCGTCGGCAATAAAAAGTAAAAATTTCATACAAATCGATGAGGTATAATTAACATAAATGGGAGCTGATTTGTGTTAGCACGGCCATTATCTTTGATGACGTCATAGTTGGAAAATGAACCAGGTGCTGGAAGTCCACCCAAGTTCAAAATACCTAATAATACACCCACATACTACCCACAACACTACAGTCAGGTGCTAGATTATTTAATCTTTATCTGAATATGTATAAATTCCAGTGCTTCTAGGAATAACTCTCAGGTTTGTGTACCTTTCTAATAGGGGGCTACATTAGACACTTTAACATCCAAATGCACCGTAAGGATTTAATCCAGATTAGTTGCTACAACCAGATTAGGACTCCTAGACCAAATATATTTTCATGTGCATCCCTAAAACCTGGGAACTATTATTGGCATACGTGACTTTGTCCAAATGAAGGTACTTACATTACTTTCAAGTTAGGTAGGTAGGCCGTAAAGACTTCTGGTAAAATTTTCTTCAGCTTCGGAGCCCGGTAAATATATCTGAAAAAAAAAAAACAAAAATAAGCTGGAGCAGAGACAATAAAAATCAAGTTTTGAAATTGAAAACTACAAAAGTTTATTTCTGTGTTCGTGTTGGGTGGAGTTAACAAAAAGTACTCCATAATAATGAAATCTGGAATAAACATTTCCGCCTTATAATTTTTTTCTTCGCATTACAAATAATTTCCTATATTTATATGAATAAATTAAAATTATAGCTCTATGGGGAAACTCTCTTTGTATATCCAAGTTCCTGGTATTGAATTCTTGTTTATATTTGAATTTCACTTTCGGTCTCACTTTATTAGCATTTGCTGCAAAAGTTTGTTATTTTTCAATTCAAGGTAGGTATTCCTACTGCATTCCTCCTCTTCCATAAGTATTCACATTAAGCCAGTTAGTGTCCGTCTATTCTCGAAACCAGGGAACAGCGTTCTCATCAGAATGATTGCCCTGTCCTTGTCAGTGTTATGGAAATATGAATATGGATGACGAAGACAGAACCTTCGTTCTCATGAGAACGCTGCTCTTCTGTTTTGAGAATAAGGACCTGAGTTTTTTTTTTTAGAATGCCGGATTCAATGGTGGTATTTGCAATGTTGACAAGATTACCGTTTCTAGGATGCCGTATGTAACTTAATTTCTTTAAATGAAAGTTCCACTTTATGCTTATTGTGATTCAGCATCCAAACATTACTAAAACCCCTAAATGCCAAACCTCCATTTAACAGACTTAGTTTTTGAAATATGGCAACACAACTTTTTTGCTGAAATATGTACGAATGGTCTCGTAGGAACAGGCTTTAGAAATGAAAAATGTGATATTGCGTATCCAAGATTTATAGAGGAGCTTGTAGGCCCAGGGGACAAAATTTTGTTCATTTTTCTGAAGTGGGTTCTGGATTATTAGGCAGTTTCCATACATAACGACAACCCTGTATATCGTACTAACCCTTGAAAAATTACCTTTGTATGTAATCATTTTAGGATTTTTCAGTCAAAGTTAAAAGTAGCAGCAGTATATTTTTCATTTTCATGGTTAATAAAAATACGTGTGGGCATGTTTCGCTTGAAAAACCAAATATAATACAAATTGTCACCCATGTGCCTACATGAAAAATAATATATTAATTTGAAAAACAAAAAACATTAAACAACTTCAAAGTTGTTATATTATTCACAAAAGTGATAATGTTGGTAAGATCTTTTGTGGCAGCTGTGCTTTTGATAACCTATTCAACATTGGTCATTTGTAACTTTGATGTAAAACTCTTTAAATTATTAAAAATCTAACTGGTAAATTAAAAATGTATTTATTTATAGGGAAAAGAAGAAATAGCAACGAAAAAATGCATTTTTACTGACGAATACCTGATGCTAGACTGTACTTATAAAGTGTATGGGATACTTAACGAAAATGGCAAATTAAATAAGGATGTATTAAAAGAGTACTTCGAAGAACAAGTCCGAAGGAATCCCGACAGGTTAGAAGAAAATTTGATTAAAATAAAAGTGTTAGAAACCTACAAATTCGACGAATGTTTGAAAGTCGACTGGCTTCTACGTCCGAATGCGGATTTGAAAATGTTTTGTTTCAAATGGGATGGATTGCCAGAGGTAGTTTTGGAAATGTCCTAGTTCTCTAATTATAGGTTAGGTACTCATTGATTGGCAATATATTATGGATTCGCATAGATTCCCAATGTGTTTTATTTTGAAAAAAAAAAAAACTTGAGGTATACAATTGGCTCACGAGTGCAACTGCGCTGTCTTATACCCAATAGAGAAAAATTTGCGTGTTAGCAAGTGCAAACTTATTTGGGAATGATGCTCAAAAATCGCTTTCACTTAAACTCACATTTCTGCCGAAATATAATAAGCCAAGCTATTTAGAAAAATATTACATTGTATATGATTGACCGACTTATTGATTGGCGAGTCAGCGATAAACAGATATAAATAGTGGCCGGCAACAAACGGATAGGCAAACTTGAACCAGCGCAAGTCCTTCTTTTGGGAAAGCCTTCCTGGACGACCTATACGTCAGCGCCTAAAGTAGCTCTGTGTCTTTGAGGTAGCTCTCTCTTGTGCCCCTAAAAGAGACACTATGAACCATAGGGACATCCTTTAGTAATAACTAACTTTAACTTCCTATCTTCATTCTTAAAGTTATTCTACTCAATATACCCTAAATCGAGTACCAAGTGAGTCTCTATTAATCTGCCCCTTCGCTACGCACCTCGTCACAACAAGGATAAGTTTTGACATTTGGTGGAGGCGCCGTTTCGAATCCGACGCCGATGATGCATTTACGCGCCATCGAAGCAGCCCATAGGTCTGTAAGACCATCAAATAAATCGGATCTTTAGTTTTTAGTTTTTTTTTTTCTTTTGTGTTAGATAGTAGACGAAATTTTTCAAAAAAAAACCCTCGGACACGTAAAATTTTGTTTTCAAAGGAACACATTTTATTGGTACTTTCACCCCTCACTTGTCAGCCCCTAAGCCGGGGTGATAGGTACCCCCAAAATTTCAAATGAAGAGGGGGTCGAGTGATACGTTATTCGATAGCTATTTTCGTTAATATTATATCCCCGAAGTTTTAAGTTGCTACTATTTACCCTGCCGAAAAGGCGGCTTATCAAAGTTGAGAAAAATGCTGTGTGATTTTTACTTTTTACTCCCTCATAGGTGTGACAGGTAAAAACTATACAAGTTAGATAATCGAAAAACAGAATTTATCCTAACTTTGACATGCCGCTATTTCGACAAGGTGAATAGTAGCTACTTTAAACTTCGGGGATATAATATTAATGAAAATAGCTATCGAATGACGTATCACTCGACCCCCTTCTTCATTTAAAATTTTGGGAATACCTATCACCCCTGCTTACGGGTTGGGGTTGACAGGTGAGGGGTGAAAATACCAATAAAATGTTTCCCCCTAAAAACTAAATTTTACTAGTTCGAAGTTTATTTTTATTTTTTCGTCCAAAGCCTTGCTGGACTGTTTTCCCTGGGACACCCTGTATAGTTAGGTACTCATAATTGTTTGAAAATGCAGTTGTTATAGTTAGAGAAAGAAGCAGCGGTACTGTGACAAAATTGAGATGTTATGTAGAAATTAATATTTTGGTAGCCTGAATAATTCTGTCACATCCTTAATTTCGTGGTAAATTATGCTGAAAACTAAATTTGAACTGAAGCAATAAATAGAAATTTTTTTGAACTGGAGGCATTCTGAACAAATTCTTCTTTCCTCTCTTCTTGAAGTGGTAATTGAAAGATGTTAGAGACTCAAAACTAGTACCACTTACCACTTTCTTACTGAAGCTGCAAACACCTTCTTTACCCGCACAAACCAGCATGAAAGATTTTCTATGCCACTACCAGTTCTTAATTGAAATTGAAAATAAACTAACACCTCTTTAGAGAGCTTTCACTAAACACTGGGCGGCAGATGACTTGGAGGATGAGAAAAATTGGTTGAGAACTTGTTGAGATTTTGCGAATTAAATTTCCGGCGACAACTGAAATTAAGTGACCTCAACACTTGCTTAAATAAGCAAGTGCTTTGAGTATCGCTTTTCTTTTTTGGGCATTCAGCTGTTCAGCCATACAGTTAGTCTCAAAGTTGCAAAGTTACAATATACATTAGTTCAACAATTCTTAATTTATTTCACATAGATATGCCATAAGTGCATTATAAATCTTTTTGGAAAAGCAGATTAAGTAAGTTAAAGGGACAATTAACATTACATTAAATTTTGTATACCTAAGTTTATTAATTTGAACGGTGAATTTGAGGCATTGAAAGAAAATGGGATCTAGCTCAGCCTTGGATTGGCAAATTTCACAAATATCGGATGGTAACACCTTAATTTTAGCTAGATGAGCTGGAAAACAGGCATGACCCAATTCTAATCGAATAATAATGGTAATGTAGCGTCTAGAAACAGGTAAATCCTGATGCCAATAATTGTTCAGAATATCCTGAATGATGAGTGAGTATCCGGTGGGTGTATTTTGGCAAAAGGTTTTCCATCTTAAATTCCATTTATGCATAATAGTTGTTTTTAATACATTTTATTTGTCAACAATTTCATTTCCACTAAGACCGGTATGTGCCTTAACCCTCACAAAGGTAATATATTTCTTACGTAAAAAATTCCGACGGAACATCCTTTTGATGTCCCAAATTATAGGGTTAATCTTATAGGTCCATGGCCTAATATTCACCATGGCTTTAAGAACAGCCATGGAGTCTGATAAAATAAGAAAATGTCGGTGTTCGTGTTCTAATGTGTATTCAAAAGCTTTAAAAATTGCAATAGCTTCAGATGTAAAAATCGTACAGTCCTTATCAATTTGAAATTTCAATTTATCTTCAGATTGTGGAATATAGCTATCGGGTCTTCAAAAAAAAAAAAAAACATACGTTTAAAAACCCATAGCAATCTTTGATTGGGTTTTTTTTTGAAGACGCGATAGCAGCCGCATTGCCTTCCAGTGTTTAGAGGCATCAGTATATACATGGATATGATTTTGGAATTCATTAAGTTCAGCTTTTCAAAACATGGGTATTCATTATTCTATTATCAGTCAAAGGTGGAAATTTAACTGTAATGGCTTGGATAGTAGCATAATATTCAATATCAGAGGTGCAAAATGGAGTAATTGAATTTAAAATGTGATTAAAGTTTCTGTATGCCTCGCACAGAGGCGGGAGTTTTAGAGATGCCAATAGTTATCTGTTAGTTCATAAGTATTTAATCTAGAAATTTTTTGTAGTAAATCAGTTTTAAAAAATCCTTGCTCGAATAAAAATTTACGCTAAGTATAGTCCAGGAGGTGGCGCCAAAAACATGCAAGAGTTTTCGCAAGGCGGATATTTTCAAAATAGGTCCTACTTTAGTGCTAGAATGCTAGTGTACAGTCAGCACTCACAGTTCCGGGACAGCTGGCTCTGGGACGCGGGCAAAGTTGTAATTTTAAGAAGCATCTAAACTGTTTTCTCAAAGCTCAAAATTTATAGAAATTTTGCACATTATCTGTTTGAAGGTGACAGATAACGTATGTAAATCGTCAGACGTCTAGTTCGTTGCAAAACGGGAGTCAGACGTCCTCAAAGTTTTTATTTTATGGCATTTTCTTCAAATATATTTGTCAAATACCTGCAAAAATATATTTTGACAGGACACCGAAGAAAATGCCATAAAATAAAAACTTTGAGGACGTCTGACCCCCTTTTTGCAACGAACTAGACGTCTGACGATTTACATACGTTATCTGTGACCTTCAAACAGATAATGTGCAAAATTTCTATAAATTTTGAGCTTTGAGAAAACAGTTTAGATGCTTCTTAAAATTACAACTTTGCCCGCGTCCCAGAGCCAGCTGTCCCGGAACTGTGAGTGCTGACTGTACACTAGAATTCTAGCACTAAAGTAGGACCTATTTTGAAAATATCCGCCTTGCGAAAACTCTTGCATGTTTTTGACGCCAGCTCCCCAACCCTACGTAAACACAAGGGAGACTCTAAGGCCTCATCTGAGAACGCCTCCACAGGACTGGACCTCATTGGTTCTAGACATATTCTAAGAGCTTTATACTGCATACGATCATTTTTTTGCATATATGTTTTGTTCTACAGGCCGAACCATAAAAAAATCTCCCGTAGTCAAGGGCGCCCACAGGGAGGGTCAGGGGGGTCACTCGACCCCCCTAGAAATTTCTTAAATTTTAATTATTTTCTATATATATTATATTGTAGGTCCGATGATGCCCGTATGAGCGAAACGGGCAGACTTGAATTCGGCCACAACTACCTGCAGTAATCCTACCTTTGAATTCGACCAAATCATGAAACCCAACCTAATTCCCATAAAACTTACCTTATGATGTTGACAGATTTTGCATTGCATATGAGTTAATAAATCTAAAAAAGTGTAAATATGTATTTTGATGCGCAAAATAAAAAGATCTACCAAAATGACTATGGAAAGATTCACAGGCATTTGTTGTCTTATCCAGGTCTATCGAGGCATGTGCCATGTGTCGATGAGATAATCTGAAAATTTAACTAGAACTTCGTGATTCGGCTGAATAGCTAACAACTCGAAAACAAATAAATCGCTAACTTCTTGATTCTCCAAAAACATCATTCCAAAACAATTATGTAACGATTTACCGATTTCTGAATCTTTTTTTTATATTCAATGCTTAAGACTAAGTTTTGGATCTTCCTCTACCATGCCTGGAATTTTAGCTATTCATAAGAAGTAAATAAGTTGATTTAATATCTATATCTCAGTGTACCGATTTGCATATTGATAAATTGTCACCCTTTCCTTATTACGGAACTGGTGAATTTTGTGGCTAAGTTCAAGGATCCCGGAGCTAAACAAATGTCACTATTAAGTGAATCAAATAATAAACAATCTGTGTGTTAACATGTGGCTTTTCAAATTATGTTTTTGCTTAAATTTTGCATTGCAAGTGTCACATTCAAATGGATAAATATCCGAATGTGTTAGTTTGTGAATCTTTAAATCGGCTTTCCATTTAAATTTTGATTTGCAAGTGTCACATTCAAAAGGATAAATATCCGAGTGTGTTGAAATGTGCCTTTGTAAATTA